AGTCTAACTTGCTCTTTTCCTATCTCCAGAAATGAAACTAAATCCCACAGAAATAAAGAGGCTCATCTAAGGCCATACAGCCAACCAATAAGCTCAGTGCCAAGAGACTCTTAATTCCCAACTTCCAACTCCCTGCCCTGCTGGGTAAGTGTCTCTTGAAACTCTTTTCCTTATTAGGAAAATAGATTATTGAGAAATGAAAAAAGTAACATAGACAAAGCGTAAAAAGAGTAGCTATTTTCATTATTGGATTTGTTTTAATCTTCTTATACTGTGTCCCTCAAGTAACTGTTATTATTTTAGCACTGTGAAAGTATAATATAAAAATTTAGTAATTTAATAATGCAAAGATCATGAGAGGCCAACGAGCGTTCAGCTCCTAGTTTATCGGGTTGTCGTTGTCTGGTGAATCTCAGCATTGGGCTTGGAGGCAGCTGCTGGACTTTCAGAAGCTGTCAGGATGGAGGTAACCAGCCCCTGCACTGCTGGCCTTGCAAACCCCACCTCATTAAGGGTGGTGAGTGTCACAGTCCAAAGATAATTCTGGGGAGGAAAAGGAGGTTGTGGTTTTCCCAGCAGACTCAGCTGTCATCAAGCTCTTTATAGAAAGCTGCTGCAGACAGGAGCTGAAAAGAAGATGAAGGCTTTAACAGGAAGTGAAAGTCGAATGATGAAAAGGTGCACTAGGCGCACAGGGCCCCGGGAGTTCTCTGCATCCAAGCTGAGAATCAGGCCTTCACTTGGTTACGGGTGGTTTTATGTCATCCTTCCTCCCCATCACAGCTCTGCTCTTTGAGCTTGTGTCTTTTGTGAATGTTCAAATAGGATAAAGAATAGGGTAACAAGGTCTTGACTTTGCCAGAGTGACAGACAATGTGGAAATACACCTACTGGCTCTCCTGGACCTTTCTCTGTCCTTTGACTTCTCCAACCACGCCTTTGGGGCTCAACCCATGCGCTTCCCATTCCATTGTCCTACATCTAGATTGGGTGTTTATGAAGCCATCTGTGAGTCATAATTAAGAGATTAATATGACTCCTACAAGAGCACCAGAACTTCACTGAAAATGTGGCCATGACAACTGTGGATTGCATGTGAAAGAGGGACCTGAGTGCCATGTCTAAGGCTCATTGCCCACTGCTCATGACCTCATCATTCCAATCTCACTGGCCAGGCCTGGACCATTCCCCAGACCAGACCACTGTCACCTCCTACCATTCCCGAACTGCAGAGAGACCCATCAGGATAACGTGTCTGTGCCTTCCAGCCCTTCATGCTCTCTAACACCCTGCAGTGGACACAGTGTCCTAAAGAAGCAGAAGATCCACATCCTTGGTCTGAATCTAGCAGGTCTCAATTTCAGCCTTTGCCATTTGGCTCAGGATAGGAGCACTGGCAAATCTGTTAATTTCTCTGAACTTCCATTTCCTCAAATATGAAGTTGGAATGATGTCTACCGTCAAAGGGATCTAAGAATAATAATAAAAAAACACTGCTGTATATGAAAGTGCTTTGAAAAATACTACTCAAGTGAACACATATATTCAATAGTCTGCATATGCCACATAGTGTTTTGTGGAAAAATTAAAATTTAATGAATATTAAATTATATCCACATCACTTTATTCATCTGTCTGCCCATGCATACACATATACATTCATATGTACATTCAGTGAAGTTTTATGAAACAACCAGCTTGGGCCAGCACTTCACTGATGCTAGATAAGGTGTATTATTGTGAACAGCCCAGATATTACTTATATTAGTCGGAGTTCTCTAGAGAAACAGAACCAAAGGAATGTATATATTAATAGAAAGAGCTATATTTTAAGTAATTGTTTCATGCAATTATAAACGTGGGTGAGTCCCAAGGTCTGCTGGGTGAGTCAGCTGTGGACACCCCAGGAGAGCCAGTGGTGTGGTCACTGAAGGCCAGCAGGCTCAAGACCCAGAAAGAGCCATTATTTCAGTTTGAGTCCAAAGGCAGGAGAAAAGCCACCATGCTAGTTTGAAGGCAATCAGGCAAGAATCCTCTCTTATCTGTAGGATATTTATGCCTTCCATTGCTTGGATGAGGCCTGGCATGTTAGGGAGGCATCTGCTTTCCTTAGTCTACCAATTTAAATGTTCATCTCAAAAGAAGAAAAAGAAAACAAACAGTTCACCTTATTCAAACCACCCTTCATAGAAGCATGCCAAATAATGTTGGACCAAGTATCTGGGCACCCCATAGCCCAATCAAACTAACTCATAAAACTTACCATCACATTCCTCCTGGAACTCACCATCTATGCAGGGGAAAGAGGCACAGTGGAACCATAATCATGCAAATACATAGATAATTAAAGAGTGTGTGAAGTGCTATGAAGTGGAAATGCAGGTCCCCAAGAGTGAGGATAATAGTGGAAGTGTATAAATATGACACTTAAGTTTTCACCGTCTTGATGCAAGGCTTTCCCTGCGGCAGAAAATGCACAGAAGAACTTAAGACCTCAAGACTATGGCAAATTCAAAGATCCAAAAGACCTTATGGAAGACAGGTATGGTGTTGCCAGATGTGAGCAGGCAGAGGGAGAGTCCCAGACAGCTCCTGGGATTCTATTATGAGAGAACTTAGAAGTTTGGAGAGGGGAGGAAGCATGAAATAGAGGTTACCAGACTGAGAAAATGACCTTGCTAAAGAAATCTAGCAACAGGGTCCAGAGATTCATTTAAAGTGAGACAGGCTATGGGAGGGGGAGTATGGGAAGATTAGATGAACTCTAGATAGGGCAAAGGGGTGGGAGGGGAATGGAGGGGGCTTGGGGGTAAAAAAGATGGTGGAATGAGATGGACATCATTACCCTAAGTACATGTATGAAGACAGGAATGGTGTGAATATGCTTTATATACAACCAGAGATATGAAAAATTGTGCTGTATATGTGTAATATGAATTGTAATGCACTCTGCTATCAAATATAACAAATTAGAATGAAAAACAAAGAAATAAAAAAGTGATACAGGCTATAATCCATAAAGATTCCAACCTTTCAGGTTTTGACATATTCTTATAGCATTTTGTTCAACATTTCAGTGTAAATACATAAATTAATTTTAGCTTTCCATTGTGACTCTCCATTTTACATTGTTTTATGTGAACATCTCCACAGGTTTGCAACCCATAAACTTATTAGTTTAAAGAACTGTATATTATTTCATCATAGTTCCCATCATGATATTTCTGGCCCTTCCATACTTTCATGTGGTTTTTAGTTCTATATACTTTCCCCACCTTAAATATAGTGCCACTGAGACTATCGTTTGAAATAGCTTTTCTTTCTTTTTTTTTTTTTTTTTGGTACCGGGGATTGAACCCTGGGAAGCTTAACCACTGAACCACACCCCCAGCTCTTTTTAATATTTTATTTAGAGACAGGGTCTCTCTGAGTTGCTTAGGGCCTTGCTAAGTTGCTGAGACTGGCTTTGAACTTGTGATCCTCCTGCCTCAGCCTCCTCAGCCACTGGAGTCACAGGCGCGCACCACCATACCCAGCCATAGTTTTGCTTTCTCACAAGTTCTTTTTTGAAGTTCCATTCCCCTCAGGTCACTTCTCTGCATTATGGCCACTCTGCTTCTATAACTGTTGTGTCACACTTCATTGGTCCTCCCTGGACTCAGGAATTCCCATGCTACCAGGTGCTTCCCGGGCATTGGATGGGGCAGGTGGTGGCAGGCAAGAAGAGGTTCATGCTCATTAGGACAGAGAGTGCTTTCTGTGTTAATGCTAAGCTTTATCCTTGGGATACTGCCTCTGCTAGAAGTTGGTTCTGTACCTGGAATCTCCACGGTCCCTCTCTCCTTCACTTTGCAATCTCCCCTAAGGGCCTATTAAGTTCCCAGTAAGTGTTGCACCTGGAACAAAATACATCGTAGGTAGTGGCAGTGAAGTGAATTGTTGTTCATAAAATCTCCATGAATGTAATTAACTGAAAGTTAGAGTTATATCATCTAAGGCAAATAGTTCCCTGGGCACCAATATTTTTATTTGTTTCTTTACTTAGTGTATTCATTCTAAATTTCTTGATGTTGTTGAGAAATTAGTCAGGGACCAATTCAGCAAGCCAAGCATGTATCAGGGAGATTCGTCCAACTCACTTCCCCTTGGCTGATCAGAACTCACCCACTCCTCTGACCTGGTGTTATCTCTTGTGCACTTATTTTCCATACTAGCCAAGAAGCTAATTGAACAAAACAAAGTAACTGGATTCATTTGATTTGGAGCAAGGGTGAATTTTAAGTTTGTTTCTCTGGGAGGAAAAAAAAAATCTATTCCTGATGTCAAGTATACTATCTTAGAGTGATAATTTAGATTGAAGTTCTTGACCATTGAAGAATAAGTTCCCAAAGAGTTTCTCTATTTTATTTAAGAAAAAAAAATGTGGGGGCAGGACTGGGGGTATAGCTCAGGTAGAACACTTGACTAGCTCGCACAGGGCCCTGAGTTCAATCCATCAGTTTTGCCAAGAAAAAAAAAAAGAGAGAGAGAGAGACAAAAATGGAAATGAGGGCCACACAGTCATTTGCATTCGACATCCTGAGGTGAGGTGGGTTTTTCTCAAAGGCCACAAAGATGGTGGGTGTTGGAGTCAAGGTATAAAGTATGGTCCAAGACCAGCGTCCCTAATCTCTTCTCCATACCAATGATCTGACAGCTGGAGGCAGTGTGGGGTAACAGCACAAGCCCCTGCCCAGAGATCAGAGCATCAAGAATCATGTGTCATGTTCCACCAGGTGCAGTGGCGCATGCCTGAATACCCAGCAGCTGGGGAGGCTGAGACAGGAGAATCATAAGTTCAAAGCCAGCCTCTGCAAAAACAAGGTGCTACGCAACTCAGTGAGACCCTGTCTCTAAATAAAATACAAAATCGGGCTGGGGATGTGGCTCAGTAGGCAAGTGCCCCTGAGTTCAATCCCCGGTACTCCCCTCTCCTCCCCAAAAAGAAGAATCATGTGTCATGTTAGTCTAGAATCTGATGGGTAAATGTAGGTAATCTCATAAACTCCTTGAGGTTCTGTTTTCTATAAAGCAAAGAGACACCTGATTTTTCTAACTCCCACTGTAAAAGAGTGCTGGATAATAGGTGGGAAAGTACCTTGACAACCATCCTTGCAGTCCTATGGGACTTTTTGTTTTGTACTGTGATGGCTATGATGATGTAGCAAGATTTTCATACTTTAAATATGAGGCATGCATTAGCTGCTCTGGGAAGGGGTTGCTTAAAGGGGTTAAATTTGAATGGGCCACCCAGGAGTGTTGGAGTCCAAATTAAATCATCTGGTAAGCTGATGTGCCAGGGCAGCAGATAATTCATAGTCAGGAGCTGTCGGGGATTATGCGGGTTGTGCATGTAACTTGATTGAGGCAGTGACAGATGCATTCAAAGCATGTTCCAGGCTCTCTAGACATTTAGACTTCCTTCTAGGAAAGCTGGCTGTTGTGGTAGGCTCTCTCCAGCAACTTCAGGCTGGGATTTGGTCATGACAGATCATGAGGTAGGGTTCCAGAACAGGACAGGGGTGCAACAGGGATCAGGTGGTCTGCAGAGTGGTATAGCTCCACCGTGTCTTGAACAGGACATTGCAGCTCTATTGCATGTCTTAAGGTTCTAGATGTTGAAACCTATTTCATAACTAGTTCAGGTAGAATGGTTTATATTAATCCAAATTTCATCCATGCTTCATATAAATCCAGTACACCAGTGAACTCAAACTCCACGGAGATGAAATATCTCTTATAAATAAAAGTTGATCAAATGCAACATTCTCGACCCCATTCCAAGAGATCACTATTCCATGGTTCTAGGGTAGGAACCAAGAATCTACATGCAAAAAGTTCTTTAGTGATTTTGATGCAGATCATGTACAATTTCCAGTCTCAGGGGGAAAGTGCAGTAGATAAGGGAAAGCGTCTGAACAAGAACTACCATGACAAAGAGTTGAAAATCAACGGTAATTGAGAGTTGACCATGAACCAGGTGCTCTTCTAAATACTGGCCATCTCATTTAGTCCTCATGGCGATCCTCTGAAATTCACGCTAGTATTCCCTCCGTTTTCTGAACAGGGCAACAGAGGCACATACTAGTTAATAAGATACAGACACCTATGATAACACCTCCTGCTCCTGCTTTCATAGTAAAATGTGTATGTTTGAATAACTCAGAACTTGGTTGAAAAGGAATAGATTGCCCAAACCCAACCCAGAGACATAGCTATTGCTCCAATCATTCCAGCAATATAGCCCCATTCTAATACTAAAAACCCATGGCAACCTAGCCATTTACAGTAGGGATGGAGCTTGGGGGAGATTGCCCATTCAAGAATCTTTTTCAGAGTAGGCACACTTTGAGACTGGGAACCACAAGTTCTAGTAATTCCTCAGCCTCTACTGCTGAAGTTGCTCTTCTCCCAATCAACTTTCTCTTATTTGGAACCTGTTGAAATGAGGCAGGCCTCGCACTTGCCTATCAGGTTTATGGAATTAAGAACATTAGGCTAGGAACGTAGCTCAGTTGGTAGAGTGCTTGCCTCGTATGCATAAGGTCTTGGGTTCAATCCCTAGTACCACACACACACTAAAAAATGTGTAAGCTTCTACTAATTAAAAATAAAATGTTCATGATTTATGGCCTGTTCTCGTTTAATTGAGAGTAGTAGTACACTCACTGAATTCTATATTTACCCTATTGAATTCTATATTTACCCTATGTCATAGAAGAATTCATTTGACTCTTGCCCTTTTCCTTACTAGAAGAACAAAAAGGGAGAAGACTTAGGGAACCCCTTAACTAGAAATAGTTTCTGGGAATAATCAGCCAGCCCCAAGAGAGTTAATTCTTGAATGATTCGTTACACATGTTCTTTATGGATTTAACTATTCATGGACCATGATTTTAAAAATCTTGAAGTTGGCTGAACATGACTCACAAATTTTGGAGCTCCAGAATTCTAGTCTTATGTTTGTAAGTTCCTGACTACTACAATGTTCCAGTTGATTATTCTGCTAGCACCCCTACCATCAAACAAATCCCAAACCAAATCAAGGTCCCCATTGATTACTTTTTCTCTCCTAATGGCCCTATTTCTGTTCAGTAACATGGTTCTCTCTGTTCAGCGTCAGATAACATCCACGCTCCCTAGAATCAGGTGTGAGAGATGTCCACAGTTTCACCCAGGCCTGCTTTACTCTTCCAAAACCTCATCACCATCACCACCACAATTCAGATGCCTTTCCACCTGGAACTGTCTGGGCCATATTCTGGAACCTTCTCCCAACATCTTCCTTCTCTGTTCTTTCTACAGTTCTTCTTCCTACAATGGCTCTGGCATATTGAAACCTTCTTATACTCAAAAATCTTCCCATAACTTTTATTGCTGGACAAATAGAGTTCAAATTTACTAAACTCAAAGTCTTATGTACCAGACCTTGTGTAATTATCTTCTGTAGTATCTGTCTAGCCATGCATCCTACAAATTCTTTATGAGCTTTTTGCTATTCACAAGGCTGACTTAGCCATCAGATATGAGAGGCACATTGCCTAGTCCCATAATGTCTTTTAGAGTTTCATGATGTTTTAATTTCTTTTAAAATCAAAAGAAAAAAATGAACCTAATCCAAGTTGGATTATGTTAACATTTATACTAGTATGGTTATAAAACTTAATTTTGAGTGTTTTTTAATAAAAAAAAGGAACCCATGAAAGAATTTATGTTTCAGTCTCATAAAAGTCATAATGCAAATTCCATTTATTCCTTCACTATTCATTCATTCAATCAACAAAATATTCATTGGACTTCTGCTATGTTTCAAGCACTAAGGGAAACAGTCTCGATTATCAGAGGCTTTAGATGCTACTCTTAGAGACAGAGAAGTTAACAAAGATAGCAACAAAATGATTATAAATTCTGGCACATGTTGAGATCTAAACGTGGGCTGAGAGAGAAAGAACATTGGCAGGAAGAGGTCCTACAATAGATGTGATGGTCAGAAAAGGTCTTTTTGGAGAAGATGATATATAACCTCCGAGTTAAAGGTATAGGAAAAAAGCTGACCTTACAAAGAGAAGTAGAAAGAACATTCCAACTGAATTTCTGGGTGAGACTTGTGATCTTGGCTGTCGCTCTGTTTCCTGGATGCTCCCATTGAAGAGACTCTGGCCTTGATGAGGTTCTCAAACACAATTTACACTCTTCTGTTTCCATGGTTTTGCTCAAACTACTGCCTTTCCCTAGAGTTCCTTCTCCTCTACCTCCCTTTCTCTATTTTTCAAAGCCTCATCCATCCTCTAAGGCCCAGTTCAAATGCCACCACTAAGCCACTGCCTCAGGGATTCCTCCTCCGAACAGACCTGCTGAAAGTGAGCTTGCTTGTCCTTGAACCTGCCACTCACTCAAGTGCTTATCACTTATAATCCGCTGCCCTTTCTTTCATATCTCTCCTATATCCATGACTTGCCACAATTTCCTTGAAGGTAAAGTCTATCTTTTATATCTTGGCATTTCTTAAACTACCTCCACAGTGACCCTCACATATTAGAAATACAGAAAAGTTCTTCTGGATACATGAAAAATGAATGAGGGCATGATTCCAAGGCTGGCTGTGTCTCCGTGTTGTATTTCCACAATCTTTCCTTTATTTCTTTTATTTCCTCTTCCAGGTTAGGGCAGCAATGACTGCTGCGGGGACTGTGACACTGGTGATGAGACTCTGCACATTAAAACAGCATGGAGAGAGGAGAGGAATGGTCAGTGAGCTCAGGAGGGCGTGGCGTCTTCTGCAAAGACACGAATAAATCACTAACAAACAGAAACAGAATTCAGCCCCAGTACCTAGAACTGAAAACTAAAAAAACTAAACACAAACAAATAAGCAAGGAAATGAGTGTGTGTGTGTGTGTGTGTGTGTGTGTGTGTAGGTACAGAAAGAATGTGTAGAATAAATAAAAGATTAAAAGCTAGATGCCTGCTGGTGGGACTGAAACAGTAATTTTACATTAAGATTGTTCTACTTTTCTCTGGGGAAATCAGTCTTCAAAGATTTTTTCTACACCTTGAGTTAGACAAAGAGATTGGCATTGTAGGTGGCTCTCCAGCAAGCCATGGGTGTAAAACAGAGCCCCGATGAGGGTGGGCACAGCTATGCATCCTTGGGAACTGTGGGGAGCAGCACATTGGGCTAGCAAAGCAAGAGGAGAGGGGAAACCATACTCCCACCAGAGCATGGGTGTTTAAATAGCGTGCCACGGTTGCGTGGTTGTCAGATTTGGGTTGCTGGTTCTTAGCAGACGGTGACCAGTCAGAGGCATTCCATTCTACCAGTCAGAAATGCAGAAGAGCATTGCACAATTCAAACGGCAAAGTTAAAAATATGGCAATCCGAAGAGAATTGGCCGACGGAGTGGAGTGAGTCCTGGGAGCTGTTTTGGATCAACTCTCTAAGAAGGTCAGGTGGTGAAGAACCGGGTGAAAACATCGCTGAGCATTGATCTGAGATGGGTAAAGTATTGCTGATGGGGTGAAGTAAGTGGGGTGGGCATGGTGGTGAGGGAACAGTACTTCCTGAGCCCCACAAGCGATGCAGGTTTAACGGCCTCTGGGGCCATACCCTGAGTGGCCTGGAGAAGCCAGTTGGCTCAGGCTCCACCCACGGGTGCTTGTTTGTCCTCCAGTTGTTGGCTGTTTGTTCATTCCACAAATAGTTATTCCACCTACTGAATGAGGCACTGTCACAGATTCTGGGAGAAGAGGTGAGCAAAAAGTAGGCCAAAATCCTGCTCTCATGGAGCTTATATTCCAGAGTCGAGAACATAAGGATGTATTTTATTGTAAAGAGAAAGCATGCTTAGATTCTAAAGACTCTAAAGACGATCCTTAGATGAATTGTCTACCTAAAATAGACAGTGGATACAACAGAAGATACAAAATGTGCCAGATGGTGGTAAGTAGCTCGGAGCACCCAAAGCAGGGCCAGCTGACTGGGAGGTACGGCGATCAGACAAGATCCCTCAGAAATGGAGACTGTTGAGGAAACACCTGAAGTTCAGTGAGAGGGTCAGCGTGTGGGTATCTGGGGAAGGCATTCCAAGCAGGGCAAATAGCCAGGCAAACCCCCTGAGGTAGGCCATGTCTGGTGAGCGGGGGGACCCCGAGGGGAGGATGTGGCTAGAGGAGAGGGAGACTGGGGAAGGCATTAAGAGAAAAGTTCAGAGAAGTCACTGGGGACAATCATGTGGCACCCCTGCGAGGACTTTGCTGTGGGTGTAACTTTGGACAGATGAGTTACCTAGAATGACCTCTAGGAAGTGATGTGCTTCTCCTCACTCCCATTTCCATCACGGGGGAAATAGCCAGGGAGAAAGGACTGCATTTCAAGGGGCAGCTTGGAGCGCAGGATTGGGGACCTTGGCAGTAGAGTTGGGTGTCTGTAGGCCAAGGGCCTCAGGAGATATGAATGCAAATATTCTATCACTTCTTCTCAGGATTGCCTACAGAAGAGAGATCTGCGGTAATAGTGCATGGTGGAAAATGAACCAAGTGTTGTCTTCATGGATTTATTCATCTATGAGGTGCCCTGAATCAAGACCCCAATCTCCCACATCTGTGAGTGGAATGTCCTCACTACTTGCCATCCCTTGTTATCACCTCTCTTCTGAGACCTAAGGTCCAAGTCATATCACCTCCTTAAAAAAAAATAAGCTCAGTGAGAGATAATTTGCACATTATAAAACTCACCTCACCTATTCTTAGTATTCCATTCAATAATTTTTAGTAAATGTACAGAATCATATAATCATCACTATGATCCCATTTTAGAATAACTTTATCACCCCAAAATGTTTCTTTGTGCCTACTTATGGTCAATTCTGCTTGCCCTTTCAACCCCGGACAACCACTGATTGATTGATTTTCTGTGTCTCCAGATTTGCCATTTCTGGAAATTTCATATAAATGGAATGATACAATATGTAGCATATTGTGTGTGGCTTCTCTCACATAATGTTTTGCATAATGTGTTAATGTTGTAGTCTGTATCACTAGTTGGCTCCTTTTCTTTTTTAAATAGCTGTCTATTGCATGGCTAGACCACAGTCTGCTTTTCCTTTCTTCAGTGGATGGACATTTGGATTGTTTCTGGATTTGAGCTATTTTGATTAATTCTGCTGTGAATGTGTAAGTCTCTGTGTGGACACATGTTTAGATTCTCTTGTGTAGATATCTGGATATGGAATTGCTGATTGTATGGTAAATATATGGTTAACTTTATCAGACGTTGCTACATTGTTTCCCAATGTCTCAATCATATTTCATTTCCACGTGGACCAGGCTTCTATGCCTCCATAGAAGAGTTATTGTTCTTTTTTTTTAATCTAGTCATTTTAATGAGGGTGCAGTGTAACTCAATTTGGTTTTAAGTTGCATCTCTTTGGTAACTAAGGATGTAAGCATCTTTTTTCATGCACTTATTAGCTTTTCCTAATTTTCTTTGGTGAAGGGTCTTTGCATCTTTTGGCTATTTTTAAATTGGATTGTCTTCCTATTATTGGGTTATTCAAGTTTCTCATATAGCTGAAAGCAAGTCCTTCATCAGGTCTATGTTTTACAGCCTTTTTCTCTCAGTGACTGCCTTGTCCTATTTCTTTCCTCACTAGTTTTTAGAAGAATAAATTTTTAATTTTGATAAAATCCCATTTATCCAACTTTTCTTTAATGGATTAAGCTTCTGTCATATCTAAGAATTGTGTACCCAATCCAATATAACTAAAGTTTTTTCCTTATGTTTTCTCCTCTAAGTTTTAATATTTTATATCTACATTAAGTCTATAATTCATTTTGAGTTGATTTTTGTTCACAGTATGATGTATCATCAACATTTTTTTTCTTTTTCTGCATATGAATATCTAATTGTCACAATGTCATTTGTTGGAAAGACTATCCTGCCTCCATTGACCTGACTTAGCACATTTGTCAAAAATCAATTGACTATAAACATAAGGCTTTATTTCTGGACTCTCAGTTTGGTTCTATTGATCTCTTTGCCCATCCTCTGCCAATCAATGTTTTGATTACTGTAGCTTTATGGTAAGCTTGAAAATGAGTAGTGTACATCCTTTGACTTATTCCTCTTTTTCCAGATGGTTTCAGCTCTTCCATTTTCTTTGCATTTTCATATGCATTTCAGAATCAGCTTGTCAATTGCTACAAAAACAATTCCCTCCTGAGAACATTACAGGTATTATGTTGAATTATAGATCATTCTGGGGAGACTTGTTATTTTAATAATAATGAATCTATAATTCATGAATGTAAAATGTATTTCTATTTATTTAGCAATATTTTGTGGTGTTTGTTGTACAATTTCTGTCTTGCACTTGTTCTGTTAGATTGATTCCTAAGTATTTTATTCTTGATATTATTCTAAATAGAATTCTTAATTTCATTTGGGGATTGTTCTTTGCTAATATATAGAAACACAATTGATTTTATACATTCCTATATTCTGTACCTTGCTAAATTTTTTTTATTAATACTAACAGATTTTTTTATGTGTAGATTTCTTAGGATTTTCTACATACAAGATTATAATGTTTGTAAATAAAGGCAGTTTTTTTTCTTCCATTCCAACTGATATGCCTTTGATTTTTTTTCTTGCCTTATTAAACTAACTGACATCGATACAAAGTTGAATAAAAGAAATAACAATGCTTGTCTTTACTTTATTCCCAATCTTAGCAGGAAAATGTTCAATATTTCATCATTAAGAACGAAATGAGCAATAGGTTGCGTGTAGATGTATCTTTTTCAGGTTAAAGAAATTCCTTTGCATAACTAGTTTGATAATAGTTCTTATCATGAATGTTGAATTTTATTAAAGACTTTTTCTGTATCTCCTGAGAAACTTACATGAATTTTGGCTATTATTCTATTAATTTAGTATATTATATTAGTTGATATAAATCTTATGTTCCCTGGTTAAATTCCACTTAGTGATGGCACATAATTCTTTCAATTTGTTTCTGAGTTAAACTTGCTAAAAATTTAAGGATTTTATTTCACATATATTGATGAGGGATATCCGTCAGATTTTCTGTTCACGAGATGTCTACCTGATTTTTGTATCAGGGGAATACTAGGTTCATAGAATGTGTTTGGAAGACTTTCCTGCTACTCTTTTCTGAAAGTGTTTGTGAAGAATTAGAACTTTTTTTTTAAAACATTTTTTAGAATTCACCATTGAAACCATTTGGGCCTGATATTTTCTTTGAGCAAGATTTTAAATTACTAATTTAATTTCTCTGGTTTAGGCTTATTTGGATTTTATAGTCTTGAGTCAGTTTAGGTAAATTATGTTTATGTAGAAATTTGTCCATACACTTAAGTTGTCCAACTTGTTGGTATAAAGCTGTTCACAATATATAACAATCCTTTAATTTTGAGGTTGGTAGTGATTACCCTAATTTTTTCCCCTAATTTTAGTAATTTGTGTCTTTGTTTTATTTTGTTTAGTCTAGCTAAAGATTCTCAATTTTGTTGATCTTTTTTAAGAAACGGTTTGGATTTCTTAATTTTTTTTTCTACTGTTTTCCCTTATTGTTTTCTACTTAATCTTTTCTATTTTCCTTCACCTGCTTGATTTGGGTTTATTTAGCTCCTCTACTTCTAGTTCCTTATGGTAGAAGTTTAGATGCTGATTTAATATCACTCTTCTGGTCTAAAGTAGGTGTTTACAGCTAAATTTTTCCCTCTATTCTCTGCTGTAGCTGCATTTCACAAATTTGAATAGGCCAAGTTTTCATTTTTGTTCAGTTCAAAATATTTAAACATTTTTCCTTCTGATGTTTCATTTGACAAATGGGTTATTTAGAAGTGTTTGGTTTAATTTCCAAGAACTTGATGATTTCCAAACTTCCTTATGTTGTTGATTTCTAATTTAAGTGCATTGTGCTTGGAGAACATACTTTTTATTATTTTGAACCTTTCATATTTATTGAAACTTGTTTTATGGCCTAGCATATGGTCTGTTCTGCAGAATGTTCCATGTGTGCTTGAAAAGAATGTCTGTTCTGTTGTCATTGGATGGAATGTTCACAAACACCACTGAGATCCATTATTGTTTAGGTCTTCAGTATCCTTGTTGATTTTCTATTTTGTTGTTCAATTAGATATTGAGAATGTGACATTAACTTTCCAAACTGTCATTTTGGGGCACTGGCATGTCTTGCTTAGGTTATTGTAATAGCTTGGAATTCCCCATCCACCATCTCAGCTTAATTTTTCTCCTTAGGACTTATCATCATCTGACTTAGTATTTATTTTATTGTATACTAAATAAAAAGGCCCCTAATGGCAGGGACTTTTCATCACTGATATATACCTATCACCTAGAATAGTCCCTGACATGTATTTGTCACTCAAAATATTTGGTGGATGAATAAATGCATCACCAAACAGATGGGGGAAGTGTAAGACTTTCCATCCTCCCCATCTGGAGGATATCTGAAACAGATTAATATCCATGGAATGCTGAGATGAACTGGGGCAAAGGGTGGGAGATATAAAGGTTACCCACTGCTTTGAGCCATAGGAAGAAATTCTCCCTTTCCCTTAATGCTTGTCCTTGGGTTTTATCTTTCTTGAATTTTCTAGTCATCATAGTGGTAGGCAGTTGAAGACCATAACTAGGTGCAGGTCTTAAGGAAATAGGCCACAGTGCTTGATTTTGATCCAAGCTATTTGGCTTTATTCTCCAGGCAAAGGAATCCCTGTGGCCCTGTACAGCTCAATAGGGGTTGATTCCCAGCAGAGAGGGCAAAGAGGGGCTAACCCTTCAGAGCAGTGAACACAGAGGTTTCCCCTGCATGTGTACTTTCCCCTCCTGAGCCTTAGAGAGGCTGTCAGAGGAAGCAGGTCCAAGACTGAGTGTTCATTTTCCAGCCAAATATCATTCCATCCTAGCATGATCGACATATCTGCTCAGATATACATCTTGACATAGCTTTTGAAACTCAAACTTTATCCTGCTTTGGAGGGCTATGTTATACAACATCTTAGGAAAAAAAGGAAAAACAAAACAGAATCCAGCATATGCTAGTTAATGGTGGTTGGCATGTTTCAAGATACTTTACAAGTATCTGGCAAGTCCAGATACTTTGCATAATCCATATGCTTAATCAATTCAAAAGATTGGCTGATATTTTCCTTTTACTCATGAAAGTTAGACCTGAGTCTTTTTTTTTTTTTTCCTTATAGAGCCTGTATAACCAATGGGAGTTCAGGGGAGAGGTCTGCCCTGGAACCGAAGTGTGGGCACAATATATAAATAGACAGTAACTGAAGATGTGAAGATGGATCACACTCCATGGAGAGTGAGAAGAGACAAACACACAAGACAAAACATTGAGGAATGATAATATTTAGTGGCTGAGTAGAGGATGATAAGCCTGATGCTGAGAGGGAGCAGCCAGAGAGGTTATAATAAATTCTCCTTAGTTAGATGAGAATTGAAATTGTTCTTGACATCAGACATGCAGTTCTCAGCCTGAGGTACCTGGAACACCAGTGGCATGGAGACTTTGGGTTAACAGCACTCTGTGTTTTCATGAAAATGATTGTCCTCCAATCTTTTGTGTCACTCTGCAAGTGTGACAAACCCTACTAATAACCCCATTTTTCACCTATGACATTTTCATATTCTAGAAGTAATTTGAATATTTAACACTGGTGAAACATGACAACGAAAATTATACAAATAAAGTTCAACTATTGCAGCAAGTTTCCTGGTGATGAAATCATTTCTTATTTTGTGTTTAATATTTGTGGTAATAAATCACCAGTGAATTTTTATTTTAGTTCCTTCATCTCAGTAGCAAATTTATTTGTAAGGAGAATACTGTTTTGTTTGGTTCATTTATTCACTCATTCATCTATCAACCTACACTAGGTGCTACTGCATGCCAGGCCCTGGGAATGTAAAGACATTAAGGCCTAGTTCTCAAGTTCTGGTGTGCATCAAAACTACTGGCAAATCTGTTAGTGATACACACATCCCAACTCTACCCCTGACGTTCAGTGGGTCCAAGAATCTATTTTTTATAACAAGCTTTTCATGTGGTCTGATGTTCAATAAAGTTACATAACCATTGGTCTATGTAAAAACATTTAATAAAAAAACTGAATGTAATAAAATGTAAGAGTGTTAGAAATACATAGAGGATAGAATGTATATTAAATTTTGTGTCTTACCATAGCAAGAATCTGTATACTTAACAATATATTGCAGTTTTCAATGGTAATGGAGTTTTTTATTAGGGTTTTAATGCCGTAGCAATATGATTTATTTCTATTAATATAGTGCAGAAATTTTGAATGTTCTTAAAATGATCATAAAGGTAAGAGAACACTGTAAACATACAATATTACTATATTGATGCATATAACTTATTCTAGTAGAATTGAGGAAAGGATTTGATAGTTTATACTAAAAACTCTAGGGAGCTGTTCGATGTTGTTACAGAACTAGTTCTTTCATAAATAAGAGCATTCTTTTTTCCCCTTTGTCTACTAAGCTCTTTTGCAGACTGTTGATACAGAAGGTTCCAGTAGCATTGGAAAAGTAATCATAGTGGTTTTCTACTGAAACTCCTGTAATGATACAAATTGCAAAACTCTGGGTCTTGCACTGAGAGAAATGAGCTTTCTTTGAAAGAATAATTGGTGTTTATTTCTTAAAAGGAGATACTCATTCACCATGTCATTTACAAGGAAACCTTGGCTATGAGGGACAGATCAGCCTACTCCCATTGGAGAGAAGCTGTGATGTTCTTTGATTTCAAGACTTGGTGGGAAGAGATACAGATTACAAGCAATTATTTAGCAAGTCCAAGTCAAAGACTGAGTGAAAACAACACAAGAATTTGGAAACACTTATGAAGTTTCTTCAAACTACCTCTGCAGAATGTCTCTTGGTCTCTTGAAGTAGCACTTCGTGAAATGAGTCAAAAGGATTAAGATGATCACTGGAATTCCTATTATCCCTCTCCATACAGAAAAACTACACATCCCAGACTCCTTTGCAGCATATATGGTCATATGACTAAGTACTAGCCAATAGAATATGCATGGAAGTGATGTGCACCACTTTTAGAGTTATAAAATATTCTTACTGTGGTTCCCACACACCTTCTCTGTCTGTTACTGGATGATGACACCCAGGCAGCCTTGGAAGCCACAAGTTGAAAATGGCAGGGCCTCTGGCAGCCTGAGTCCTTGGATGACTGGATGGAGTAGAAACTACCAATCCCCTCTCTTTCCCATCCCAGTGTCAATGGATTTTGCTGGGGGGGGGGGATGTTTTTGCTGTGTTAATCTTCTGAAATGCTGGAGTATGTTTGTCACAGAGTGAGCCTCTTCTAACTAGCCCAGGAAGTGAGGACATAGGCAAGACTGCACCATGAAGACCATTCACGGGACTATTGATTCTGGAAGCCAGAGTCCTGAACATGGTTCCATAATTCTCCTGAAGATGTTGCCCCAGCGCAATTTCCCACTAAAACTGTGTAGGAAAGCCTCCTCTGACTCTGGGGGACAGGGTTTAGTCTTCAAGAATAGCTCTCCAGCCAACATTTCTCCTGGCCTTCAGATTGTGGTCCTAGCACCACATAAAGCATAAATCAACACTCAGAAAATCTAACTCCAAAATATGAAGAGAACAAAATGGGATAGAAGGAAACCAGAGGCACGGCCACACAGGAACATGACATGTAGCAGAGAAAGCACCAGGGCCCAGGGCCATCTCAAGGCCCCTCATGCCTTGCCACAGACTGGCCAGTTCTGTCAACTAAGTTTAACGGACAATCCTCTAGGTCTTTTAAATGTCTTACTGTATGGAAGTCACAGAGAAAATTTCACAATGTTCAGAGGCATCCTTACTGGTTATGAAGAAGGTTTGTCTTCCCTTTTAAGATGTCAGTTGAGGCTCTACCCATGGAAAGCCACTCTTACACTCTAACACCTTACCCCGAGTGAGCAGCCTTCTCTGGGTATTTATGATATGCCCATTGCAAATATGATCTTGGCGTGCAGAAAAACTATTTGCAACTTGAATTTATTTTAATTTTAGTTTTGTTCTTATCCAAAATATTCCTCTAAGCCTTAAAACCTTTGGTCACTTGGGGTATCTTTCTCTCTCCTCCATGTTCCATTGAGTAAAATGGCCGCCATCTGTGCCAGAGTTGTTTTACACCAGGCCTTGTGCATGGCCTTTATGTGCTTTAAGTAACTTCATCTTCATGTGAAATGGGTGCTATCATTATCCCCATTCTGCAGATGAAAAAATGGAGGCACCAAGTGGTTAAATAGCTTGACCATGCTCCTACAGCTAGGAAAGGGCAAAAGCAGGGCTCAGATGTCAGCACTGACCCCCAAGCCTCTGCCCTTAACCATTGTTCTATGCTGCCTCCACTGGCATTCAGCAGAGTTTTGCTGGTGTAGGAGATCTCTTGGGAGGCTAGTGAATCCTTCAGGAGGGCCAATAAAGCAGTGAGTCCATCAGATCTTCAAGTTTGCAACCTTTTCTTTATTCCCAAACAGTTTCCCAGGGTAATTTGGGCAGCTCTCAGCAAGGTGCTGTGTTCTGGCAGGCTGAAATCCTGGGGCTGTTGCCACAATCTTCCAGGAAGGAGAAGCTAGAAGAGAAGCTTGTTGGCTCCGGCACGTTCTTAACGAGCAGGAGAAGAGCTGTTCTGTGGGTCCAATCTGTCACTGTGTCTATATTTAGCACCATCTGCCAGGAATATTTCCAACTGCCTATTTTAGTACACGCCGCTTTGTGCAAACGACTGTCCACCGGCAGCTCCTGGGAAACCAAGGGCACTAAGTGGATTTTCTGGGTTTTATTTTGTGTTGAGAGTTGGCCCTTCAGTCAACCTTCAGATGAGATATGGAAGAGGATGGGGGCAGGGTTTTCCCATGATGCTATTCCCAGGGGCCCTCAATTTTAGTGGCTCAAAAGTCATCTGTGGGTGGCAGTGTCAGAGGAGGTGGAGGTGGTTGTCACTGGTGTTGCGAAGGAAAGGAACAGAAAAGGCCCAAGGTCCTTTTGCAGCATCCCTGAGGCAGTGAGTTCCCCACTGCATCTCTGAAGTCAGAACAGTTTCCCCAGCTCAGCCAGCTCCCAGCTGACCCGTCTCAGTGGAAAGGGGGGGCTCCCACTTACTGGTGACTTCCATTGTGCCAGTGTCCAGTGCTTGCACCAGTATTTCTGCTATAAACCTCCCTCTGAGAAGCTTCTAATATTAGTTCCATTTTACAGATAAGGAAACTGAGCCTTAGAGAGAGTTGGGGACTTGCCTAAGGGCACATTATTTGCAAGTGAAAGACTCAGAATTCAAACTTAGGCCCACCTAAAGTCAGATCTCATGGGTTTGAACTTCATTTTTGTACTGACCAATTCTATACATTCAACCTATCCAGTGACTTCCCCCAGTTATAGACTTCAGGGTTTTTGCTTTGTTTTGGTTTTTGTTTTTTTTGCATGTATTTTGATCTCCAGCTTATTTTCCAGGCTCACTGTTTAATTGAATTCGAGGAACTCTGACCACAGGCTTGTTTTCCAGCTCCCATTGCAACCAGGCTGACTTCCCTGGATAGCCCTCCCACATGCGCCCCAGGAATAGCACAACAAGATAGTGTGACAACAGGGCTTGTCCCCAGCCCTGGGTAAGGACATGTTGGTGGGAACAATAGAGCAGCCTTCTGAGAGATATGCTCAGAAGGGTTCAGAATCTGGCTCCATAGATGGCAAGGGCCACTTGGAAAAGGAATTGCTACCAGGCCTGGGGCTGGACTGAGAAGACTGACCATGGAGGGAGGAGGCTCATTGACCTACTGTCCTGGGTGACCTAGCAATCTTGAGAGTAGCTAAACCCAGGAAATTCCTAAATTCTGATTATAGAAAAATCTCAAAAATTATATGCACTTAAAAAAAAATAAGCACTGTTCCCAAGATCAATTTTCATGATCTCACCCTAGGATGAAGGTTAGGAGCACTGGCTGCATGCTTGCCATGGCTGGGGAGGTGGGGCACTGAATCCCCGGGCCATCCAGAGACTGAAGAATGGGAATGGCGCATAAAGAAAACTAAAAATCAGATCTTTGACCAGCAAACACCATCCTTTCCCATTATATGTTCATAATAACAAGCCACCCTTAAGATTAGTGGTTTAGATAATGCCCAATTAGTAATTGTTGTATTCTGCTACCTTTCCTATCCCGTACTACTAATTGGGCATTATGTAAAACTGTGGATGTATAACCGATGTGATTCTGCAATCTGCATTTGGGGTAAAATTGGGAGTTCATAACCCACTTCAATCTAATGTATGAAATATGATATGTCAAGAGCTTTGTAATGTTGTGAACAACCAATAAAAAAAAAATTAAAAAAAAAAAAAAGATTAGTGGTTTAGGACTAGAGCCATCATTTATTATTAACTCCCATGGATTTGGGGAACTGACGGGTCTTGGTTGGTGGCTCTTGCAGTTGTCATCAGACAGTGAATGGGGTAGAGTCATCTCAGAGACTTCCCCCACCGGCTGTCAGCAGGGTCCTCTGTTCAGCTGTCTATCAGGACACTTACCTATGGGCTCTTCTATGTCTGGGCCTCCCCACAGCATGGAGACTCTGCTTCCACAAGGAGAGAGAGAGAGACCAAGAGAATGAGGCCAATTCTGTATCGCCTTTTATGACCTTAGTCTTAGAAGTTGACGGAAGT